GCCCTTTTTATTTTTTGAGACAGGGTTTCATTAAGGTGCTAAGTTCCCCAGGGTGAACTCAAACTCGCCATCCTCTTGCCCCAAGATGTACCACGACACCTGGCTAGATAATAGCTCATAGCAACTCTGCATTATGAATAGCCCGTCCTCCTTGGGCTCAGTTTGTGGCCGTCTGGACCAGCCTTGTGAAGTCTAGTCTCCCTCTCCCTCCAATATGTGGCTTCTGATGTCACTGCTTGATTTCAGACCTAGTTTCTGTCTTCCTAGAAGTTGCACCTGGGTGAGCATAGTTCAGTGTTAGGACACAGGTTGGCCAAAGATTGTGTTTAAGCTCCCAAGCCAATGAGGCTCCCATCTTTTGCCAGGGCTCTCTGTATGATGGGAGTGTGGTCCAATCTGCCCCATGTGTAGTCGGTGTTTGGCTGAATGATGTCCAGATTCAAACTCCTGAAGCCTGTGACTGTCATGTTATTTGCCAAAAGGAACTTTACAGTTGATTAAGTTATAGATCATGAGATAGGGAGGGGAGGTATCCTTGGTTATCCTGGTGGATGCTAAATATAATCACAAACTTTTATTTTTGACAGGGTCTCACTATGTAGTTCAAACTATCTTTGAACTCACTATGTAGCCTAGGCTAGCCTCAAACTTGAGGGCATCCTCCTGCCTCAGCCTCCTGGGTGCTGGGGTCACATGTGTGTGCCACCATGCCTGGCTACAAGCATTCTGTTTTTGAGTTAGGGTCTCACTATATAGTTCAAGCTGGCTTCATACTTTCTACGTAGCCCAGGCTGATCTCAAACTCATGATCCTCTTTCCTCAGCCTCCCAAGTGCTGGAGTTACAGATGTATACCATCATACCCACCCACAAGTACACATATAAGAGGAAAGCAGAGGGGAATTTGACTGTAGAAGAGAAGGGCATATAATTCTAGAGAGACAGAGGTTGGACAGGTGGATCCACAAGCTAAGGAGTGCGGGCACCCCAAAAGCTGGAGGACCAGGTTATGGTTTCTCCTTGGAACC